AAAAAAATGGTGCCAGGTACCACAACAGCAACAGAACTTCGCTGTTTTCTGGATATTATTCTTTTCTTTGTTTTTTTGTTTTTGTTTTTTTTAATGGATTGTGCTGACTGTCTATAATTTTGTTCAGATGACTGCAGAACCTGGAAAAGCTGTTGCTGCTATGGATGCATAACATACTGCTATTATTGGTCTTTTAATATAAATATAAATATATATATATATAATTTGAATTTTTTGGAAACTGCAACTGTGCTGTCAACTTTAGAAAAAGTTATCCCAGTTTACTGTGTTGAGTTGGCATTGTACAGAAATTAACAGCCATATTGATCTAGAAATGTTAATGTTTTTTCCATTTGTACAGGGGTAATGCACTATATTAAATATGTAAGGTCTTATCTACGTGAGTTTGATTACAGAAACTAATAAAGTATTCTCTAAACAATTAAAAAAAGAATAATATAATACTACAAGAGCAAGAAGCAATTTAAATATGTTCCGGGACCATTTTCATCTTCAGGATTAAGGATTATTTTAATTTTACATCATTGCCTTTTCTCTTTTACTTTCCTTTTTAGTTTTATCATTTTAGGATTCCCTATTTTTAATTTTCATATAGATTTCTTTAACTGATCATTATAATTAAGCATAAAGTCACAAATTACAAAGTCATATTTTGCTGAATTCTAGAGTTCTAAATTATTCATTCTACTTACTGTTTTTAGATTATTTTATCCGAAAATTTCCAGTTTATTGTTGTTTTTTATTTTGTACAAATAAGGCAGAGTTAGAAAAGAAAGAACATATGGAGATACCTCAAAGAGCTGGGACTAGAGGTTCCATTTGACCCAGCCATCCTGCTGCTGGGTATCTTTCCAAAAGAATTAAAAGAATCATACCACAGTGATATATGCACACCAATGTTTATAGCGGAACAGTTTATAATAGCTAAAACCTGGAAACAGCCCATTTGCCAATCTGTTGGAAACTGGATAAAGAAGATGTGGTTTTTCTATAAAATGGAATACTACTCAGCCATAAAGAGTGAGAAATTCGAGTCATTCATAGGAAAATGGATACATATTGAGGATACACTCTTAAGTGAAATAAATAAGCCACACGTGTGTAAATACCGAATAGTTTCTCTGGTGTGAAAAACTATAATAGTACACAAGATCCTAATGAGATAATTAATAATGTGAAATAGGAAGAAAAGGGCTAAAGGTGTAGGGAAAGTGGGAAGGGTGGGGGAAAGGTAATAAGGGAGAGGAAAAAATATAAGAAAATGAAAAAAATGGAAATAAAGTGTTTGTAAATGGGGAGGGGAAGAGGGGGTGAAGGGAGGGCAGGGACAAGGGGAAAAAATGAGAATCAAGACCTGTCATGTAAAGGTACAGGATCCCAATAATGAATGTAACTGTATTGTATACTTAGATTGTACCAATAAACTCAATAAAAAGAAAAAAAAAATCTTATTTCCTGATACTATGGAACAAAAACAATGTTGCCATAATAATTTTTTTAAATTGAGACATGGTCTCTGTGTAGTCAGACTGGCCTTGAACTCACTATGGACAATAATAAATTATGAGACAAAATAGGAAACCAAAGGAAGAAGCATCTGCTCAGTTTGGGTCAGGAGCATCCGTCCCGAGAGCTGGCATTAAAGGCTTGGTCCCAAGTGAAGCCACCAGAAGCAGTGGGCCATTTAAGAGGTGGCCCTAGTGGAAGGTCTGTGGGTCACTCAGGGAGCCCTGGATGAGGATGTGGGATCCTGGCCCTTCCTTTTGCTTCCTCACCTTATCTCAGTGCTCCCAGTATGATGTGTTGCCTCATCAGAGAGGCCCAAAGCAAAAGGGGCAATCAAAATCAGAACCTCTAAAACAGTAAGCCAACAAGAATCCTTATTCCTTATACTCTGAAAACCCCAGGTGTTTTGTGACAGCAATAGAAAGCTGGCTAATGCGATGTCTCTTCTGGTGTCCGAGGCTCCCTGAATCCAAATATGACAGTGACTGCAGCTGACTCCTGGAAAAAGAAGAAGTTTGTCCTGGGGGCTGGGGCTCCCCTGCCTGCTGAGTGGAAGGTGGCTTCCTTCTCTCTAGGAAGCTCCAGTCACAGCTGGGCTACATCAGCTCAGCTGGTTGGAGCATCAAGGGGCAAGGTAGTCATTCCCACATCTGTCTGGGTCCATGAGTCCTCTACAAAGCAAAATTATCCCACAAACATACATTGAACCTGGCCAGCTGTCTGGAAATTGCCTCCTAATGATCCAACACTGCCCTATGCAAGATGAGTAATAATTCACACCAGCATGACGGGCAGCCTCTGCTGAACTCCAAACAGAAAACAAACTACATGCTGGCAAACCCAAGAGCAGCCAATGGACCTGTTTTACTTGGCTTACAGTCTTTAATTATGTATTTATTTGTTGTTAGTTTATGTTTTTGAGATGGGGTCTTGCTATGTAGCACAGGCTGGCCTCAAACTCACGGCAATCCTTTTGCCTCAGCCTCGTAAGTGTAGGGATTATAACCATATACCACCACGACCAGCTACAGTCTTTTTTTTTAAAAAATAGGTAATCAGTATCTTAAAGATCTAAAAACTTCATAGGAACACTAATTTCTGGATTCTCTTGACAGAATCTGAAGCTTCAACATGAGCCAGCCCTCAGACTCACAGACGAAAAGCTCACTACTATTGAGAGCTGCCGCCCACTGGAGATGGGGCCAATGCACCTCTCGGCCTGCTGTGATCTCTCTCTTGTGCATCTCCAGGCCTGGCCCTGTGGGTCTGTTTTGCCAAACCTGCAATATCCCAGTAAAGGCTCCCGAGTGCCATCTGTCATCTAGGAATTCTAAGGCAGCCCCAAAGAGGCTTCTGACTATGATGTTGGAAAGAACCGAGCTCCTTTTCTAATAAGATGGGCAAAGGGCCCTTTTTATGCCTTCCTGGTTTTCTGGAGGAAAAGATGAAGCCTGGCTATCAACACAACCATCTAACAGTTCACAGGTGGGAAGAAAGAAACAGATCTGGGAGGACAAAACCCTACCCACAGAAGGGTTTCTCCAAAGCCAGATGTAATACCCAGGCAGCAGCCCCAGCGGCTGGCTGTATCTCTGCACAACAATCCTGCAAGCAGCTTAGGCACAGAGATTCTGCTCCCACAAATAGCCCAAATTCCCAACAGCCACAGCTACTGCCAATCTTGTCCCAGAGGCCACGACTTTGGAGAAGGCTCTGAAGATGGGAAGGTTGGTCCCCTCCAAGTCCCACTGACCCTGCAACTCCTGGCAAGAAGGCCAGAGTGAGCCATAAGGTCAGGCTTCCTTTCATTTTCTTTCTGTCTCATCACTTTCTCAGCTAGATCATCAGAACTAGAGGCTCTTAGGCATTTTCCTAGTCCCAACAGTTAACAGCGCCATGCTGTTAACTCATGAATGGAATCTCCTGGGTGAGAGAAGTCAAGATTTACCCAGGATCCCTACATTGGAATTTGAATTTCATGCTCCTGAATCCCACCCAAAAAATTCTCTTATGATTCAATTTTGTTTCCTTTGTACAGACACACGTTCATTTATCATCCTCCAGAAATACAGATAAGACTTTTCACTTCTAGACATCAAAGATAGACATCTTGGTGCCTATTTGTAATACTTCATGGGCCATTATGAGTGTGATTACACATTATGGTGTGTCCAGGACAACCTTTGTCTATGCCTGCTGCCCAGTTTAATAATTAAGAACATTCCCTCTTAGTTTTAAAAGTATCTGGCTTGGGAAGTTGGGTGCATTGGCACATGCCTGTAATCCCAGCACTTGGGAAGCTGAGGCAGGAGAATCACCATGAACTCAGGCCCAACCTGAGCTATACAATGAGTTCAAGACCACCATGATAAAAATCTGGCTAAACTACATCAGGGTCTGACAAGTGGTTTGTTCTTTTTATCTTTCCTTTTATTTTTTTTTTTTAAAGAACATAGGATCTTGCTCAAACTCCTGGGCTCAAATGATCCTCTCACCTCAACCGTCCAAGTAGCTGGGATTACAAGACAGGTACATGCCACTCCGCCAACCTGTCCAATTATCTCGGTGAAGAGTCAGACAGGAAATATTTAGGCTCTGCAAGTCACACAGTCTCTGTTACCACTCCTCAACTCTAAAAGCTGCCACAGATAACATGCACATGAACAGGCAACACTGTCCTGCAATAAAACTTCACTATATTTACTAAAACAGGCCTGGGCTATAGCCAGAGACCAGTTCGGAGAAGCCCAGGAATAGCTCAACCATTTTACAAGTCTTCAAGGGGAAGAGATTTGGGGCACAGGAGTTGAGTTCAGCCTGGGCAACATGTTTCCAAAAAGTAAAATTAAATTAAAAGGGAGGGTCAAGGCCACCATGAAGGAGCCTGACATGGAATCATCAATGAAGGAGAATGAACGAGCAAGGAGAAAACGGGTCATTCCCTACACAAACACAACACCCGAAAGACGGAGCTCAGAAGGGATCATCGGGAAAAAGGAGGCTAGTCTGCCCAGGAAGTGGAGGAGAAGGCACACTCCCGTTTCCCCTCTTGTCAGTGCCACCCCATCCCCTGCTTCAGAAGGGGCACAGCTCAGCTTACTACCTTGGAGACCCCAGGGACAGGAATCCCTAGACCAAGCCAAACCTCACTGATGCTGGGACAAATCCCCGGCAGCACAAGAACAGCACCTACTGCCGGAAGTGCCATTGAGAAAGCACCAGTAACTGCCCCCTTCATTCATTCTACTGAAGAGAGGAGTCTCATTTCTCAACTTCTAGCTCTAGAACACAGCAATCCTCATGAGTAGGTTTCCCAGGTCACAGTCTTTGGGACACTAGAGACACAGCGTGTTCCCAAAGGAAAGATTGTTTCTTCAGGTGATCACGATTCAGCTGTACAGGGCCCGTGATAGTACCATGTTTGTAAAATGATAATAAACATCTTTCAGTGTTACTTGTGTAATTTAGGAGAAAAACAGAAACCTCAAATAAACATCTGATTTCCTGAGCTCTGGTTAAAGCAATTATGCACAGCACAAATGCCTTTCCCAAGGAAGCACCTTTTGGTAACTCTAGGGTGGCTCTGTGTCTGTCAACAGGAGGACGGGGCCTCGGGCAGCACTGCCCAGGTCTCCTTAGTCCTCAGGGGACCTCCAGAGCCAGCTTTCTCTCTCCTCAGCTGGGCTGTGTGTGTCTTCATGCTAGCAATATCTGCCTTCCACACCTCAGACAACTGGCTGTACCCCTTTCTTTCAGTGGGGAAAAATATTTAAGTCTATGTTTCTTAATTTTCACTAAGTTCTCTCTCCCATAAAAATTTAAAAATATATGGATATTCCTTGTTTAACAACTGAGTTTCAGTCCCACAACTAGGTCATTAAATGAATTCGGTCACTAAATGAGAAACTGCATACAGTGTGTACATTACAATATTCAGAAGAAATGGTCAAAGGAAACTCCAACTTGATGACTTTGCTTTTATCTGCATAACTCTTACATGCAGTGCTGTGATGTATAACAGAGCATAAAACTACAGTACTGTACTGTACAGCACAATCAGCAGAAATCACAGAACTGTGCTGCAGAAGCCACCATAAGGCCACACTGCCACTCACATTTCTGCACTGGAAATCTAAATGCAGGTCATAAGTCCGAGCAGTGATTGTCAACTCTGAATAGCGCACCTCAAGTCCAGGCAGTCCTTAAACAGGCAGGTTGTTAAATGGAGAAATACCTGTATACAAAGGCTGAGCATTCCTCAACTGAAAATCTGAAATGTTCCAAAATCTAATTTTTTGAGCTCTGACATAATGCTTGGTTTTGGATTTTGGACTTTCAGATTAGGGATACTCGATGTGTAAAGTCTACACAAATATTCAAAAAAAGAAATCCAAAATTTGAAACACTTCCGGTCCCAGCACTTTGGTTAAGGATTACTAAACCAGGTGAATGCACTGTTGTAGCACTGCAGGCAGGAGGGAGTTCAAAGCCCTAAATACCTTTCTTATCACCAGGAAACCCACACAGCCATCTGACCTGGGGAGGTAAACAAACCTGGACATTTCTCTCTGTTTCCTACATCCCTCTTTGAAGGCTGAGGACTGAGCTTGCACACAGAAAGTAACACCCAAGGTGTGTTTCCTGGGGGTCACCCCACAGCCCCCTGCCTGACGGGACTCTAGTTCCTGGCAGGAGTGATCGTGGCCCCACTGGTCCTGGTATCGACAGCCCCTCACCAGCAGCCACCTCCTCCATTCACCCACCTCTCCATCAAGGCTGCTCCCCGAGTCCCCAGGCCCATCCTACTCCCGAAGGGCCAGCACCACGCACCGGGCAGCCCATATAGGCTGAGTTGTGCACACCAGGCGGCCGCTTGTAGGTGCCATCGCTGTCAGTGGTGATGAGCCTGTCCTTCTCAGCATCCGCCGGGCAGCCATTGACCTGGTGTTTCCGCCGTGGCTTTGGGGAACGTTTTATCCGAGAGCTGCTAGGAAAAGCAGGTGTTATCTTTGTAAGCAATAAGCCTACGCCTTGTGGCCAGCTCATCAACTAAACACTGCCTGTGTTCTACATGCCTGCGATGAGCCAGCCGTTGTGGGACACAGCCAGGGTACAGGCAGTGTGAGTTCACCACCTGGGCTCCAAAGATGCTCAGAGCCTGAGAGACAGACCTAACAACACGCAGACCAGAGTAACCAGCCATCACAGCACCATGTAGGTGCACAGGCATCCAGAGAAGGTAAGGTCAAGGTGGGCTCTTAATTCCAAGGTAGCCTGAGTGGGGTACTTAGGATCAGGCAGGGCTGAGGCCGGGAGGGATGAGATGGGAGGCACGGAGGTGGTGGCACAGGGCCCTGCACCCTCCTCCTCACTGACTTTCATAAGCGCAGGCAGGACCTTCTGCCTGCCCCTAGTGTGCAGCGGGGTACCCTCTGCCCTGGCCTTGGTTGGGATCCCGCAGCCTGGCCCACCTCTTCCTGGGCTCGATGAACACAGAGGGAACGCTGGCTGTGGGGTCCAGGATCTTGTCGATCTGCATCTGTGCCCTGCGGTACACGCGGTGCCGCTCCTTGGTGTCGCCTGAGGACAACTCATCCACCACCGGGAACTCATAGTGGCCACGGCGCTTGGCGCGCAGTCGGATCTTGTTGCGATGGTGCTCGATCTCCGACTTGTGCCGCAGCGCAGTCTGGATCTGGGGACGGGTGGTGGTGACACACATGGTGTTCCAGGGGGTCCTGCGGCCCGCGCTGGGAATGCCTTCCTCACCCCACCATGGACCTGCTGTCCCTAGGCTCGAGGGAGGCACCAAGGAAGGTGACAGGATGGGCAGGGGCTTCCTTCCAGCCTGGAGACCTGGCTTCTTTCTTCCCATATCGGGGAGAAACTCAGTCTAAACTTGGAAATCAGCCAGAGACAACGCCGAACACATACTTGTCTGATAATTAGACAAAATATGCTGTGAGAACAAAATATTTACCATACCCAATAATATCACTACCTTTAGAGATCTTTAAAATAAGACTGACCATCCAGGTGTGATGGCACACACCTGTAAACCCAGCACTTGAGAGGCTGAGGCAGGAAGACCCTGCTGGGAGCCAGAGGCCAGCCTGAGCCATATAGAGAGTTCAAGGCCAGCCTGAATTACATAGCAAGACCTTGTCTCCAAAAAAATCAATAAAGACTGATGTGCAAAAAAAACGCGGTACTGACAATTCCATCACTTAGGGAAACAAGTTCCCTGGCACTAAAGATGGAAGAATCATTGCTGGCCATGCAGGACCTGAACCAGGTCTGCAAGATCGAGAGCCAGCTGAAGCAGGACCATACGAGACTTAAATACAGCAGGCTGAGAGGCCTCTGCCGCAGCTCTCCTCTGCACATGAGCCCAACAGCACCTTGGCTACTACATGTGCTTTAAAAACCAAGCACAATGTTTTCAGTGAAGCACACTTGGCAGCCCATGCCACTATGACCATCTGACACTGTATCTTTCACTTGTCTATTAGCACTGACCAAATCAGACTGGGACCTTTTTTTATTAAGCTGTTTTTTAATAAAAGCAAGTACCTCTTTGTTGATTTTGTTGGTTTCTGCCACTCGGTCAGCCAGGATGGGGTGCTGCACTGGAGGGGCTGGGATGGGCTGCATGGCGATGAGCTGGATCTTACTGGGGACCTGCCGGCTGGCCTCCGAGGAGCGGGAAACCCTGTCCACATGCTCAAAGATGGAGGCCGAGGAATGCTGCTCTGTCCCAGAACTGGGCAGTCGGGGGCCTGGAACAGAAGTGAAGCGAAAAGTCATCCTAAAGAGGCAACACTGTAGAGCATTTCTGAAAGAATCTGCAGATGAGGCCTCGGCCCAAAAATACATCCTGACACCGGCAGGAGAACTTTGGATTGTGAGTAACTTGTTCTGCAAGTGTTCTTCAAGATGCGCAAACACACCTAATAAAATTTAACTTGATATATAAGCAACATCTTGCCAGATAAATAGTACACGACACTAAATGTCACATGGCCACAAGTGAGCCACTGGTTCCTCCCTCCCCACCTCCCTCCCCCCCTCTCTCTCTGCAGGACTGTGGGTGATTTCTCCCAACAGCAAGAGGTTATAGAGGGGATCCCACCTACAGAGGAGGAGTAAAAAGAAAAGGAATACCTCACTTGAAATGAGATTAAGGAGATGTGTAAAATGTGGGAAAGAGTACAAAATTTTGTGGAAAAACACCACCCAAATAAGGCTACAGCAGCATAAGTGATGAATTTGTTTAAAGACAATGCAATGCCACATTTCCACAAAAGCCTTAAAAGGAGGCAAAAGCAAGTATCATTGGATAGGTTCCTTGTTAAAGTTGCAGAAAAAGAAAACGATTCCAGTGAGCCAATAGATAGCATTGATTCCTTTAGTGATAGTGAAAGTCGTCCTATATAATAACTCTCCTCTCTCTTGTCTTTCTCACACCAGACACAATGGTATTCAAGGGTTAAGTGCAGGTTAATTTGTCTTTATATTTTATTATTTTATATTACATTATAATGTTGTAATCATTTTACATGAGCATTTTTTGGGTTGTGGAACAAATTACTTGAGTTTCCATTATTTCTTATGGGGAAATTTCCTTTGATATACAAGTGCTTTGGATTACAGGCACATTTCCACAATGAATTATGCTCACAAACCAAGATTTTACTATACGTGAAATTTCTCTAATTGAGCTTAAATAATCTGGACTAAATACTCTCTGTAAACATCATTAAAAAGTATAAATACTCTCAGGAAAGATGTGAGGAGATCATTATTATACTCTCAAAAATTGCCCTGTAAGGGCTGGGGATTTAGCTCAGTGGTGCCACTCCCTGCCTTACAAATGCAAGGTCCCAAATTCAATCCCCAGTACCAAAACAAAAAACTGCCCCATTTTGTCTAAATGTGGTTCAAATCTCCAATAACAAAAGGGAAAGGACAGGAGGATCCTGGAATTCCTCTGCTGCTCAATAAGCAATTTTACAGGATGTCTAGAAAAAAACATCTGTTGCAGCTCCGAGCTTCCACTGTCAGCTGGAGGGAACTTGCAACAGTGACATCAGTCAGTTGTGAAGGCAATGAACTGCAGTCCCCCAAGACCCTTCAGACAGGATGCTCAAGTCATTTCTACAACACAGCCCCATATCTACACACAACCTGTGCACACCCTCCTGCAAGTCATCCCTAAATTCCTGTAATTTCTAATATAATGTAAAAGCTGTGCAAACAGTGGCTGTTTAGGAAATAATGGCCAAAATAAAGCCTGTACATATTCAAAACAGATGCAGTTTTTTTCTGACTAGTTTTGCTCCATGGCCAGCTACACATGGAACCCACGGATATGGACTGTACTGCTGAGAAATCAAAAGGCAGCAGTGGCACTGCACCTGCCTCATAAGCACAAGGTACTGAATTTGATCCCTGATACTGCCAAAAAAAAGGCAGCACATCTGGGGGCACATAGCATGTACTGGTTAACAAGGATCGCTCATCACCTTTCAGCTCTGATATAGAAAGAAAAGCTGAAGAAGCACGAGAAGAAAAGCCTGATGCCTGGAGGGAATTCATTCCCACTTTAAAGAGATTACAAAGGATACTGAGAAGTGGCTATAATGGTAATTTTTGTTACGTATATTTCACTACAATAATTTTTAGAGTAATGGCATCTGTTTAAAAGAAGAAATTTAAATGTACAGAAAAGATGGAAAAAAAATTTTAAATTTTAACAGAGACTGGACTTGGTATAATGAGTGATTTTTTTCAAATTTCTTGCATTTTTAACAATGAGGTTTTTCTCTAATGAGTATTATTTGTAGTAGAAATAATCCCAAATAGATTTAATTTTTTTTAAAATAGAAGAGAGAAGAAGAGGAGGGGAATAAGTGGAAAGCTATGCAGTTGAACTGAAGTCAACTACTGTCCAGTTTTCCTAAGCCATTGTAACCTCTTGTTTTAAAATAAATAGCTAACTGCAGGAGTAAAGCAGTAGAAACTGTTTTTAAACAAAAGCCAAAGGTTTAAAACCCCAAGCCAAAGTGAAAAATGTAGTTTCTCTTCGGTATACAAAAGACTAAGAGCTAGAAAAGTGCTAAGAAAGTGTTGATGTTTTATATAAGGAATGCATATCAGTGGTATGTAGGTTTTCATATTTTCTCTCCACTTGAATTATAGTCACATAATCCCAAGTAATTAGAAATTATGAATTACAACTCTGAGTCTCCCAGCAAGGAGGCAACAGCAATTCTTTGCCTGCCCCAGCCCTGCAGGGAGTCTCTCTGTGCCACCCCAACCAGCCAGGCACTGCCAGTCCCAGCGGCAGCTCCACACATGGCAGACAGTACCTAAACAGAGATCACTACCTTTGCCAGATGGGACTGGCCTTGCCTACCCGAACTTCAAAGGGAGCCACAAATGCTACAAATGTTGCACAGGGTGGCCCATTAAGCTACTGCTACTAAGAGAGGAGAAGCAGATGCACACAGATTTACGCCCTGTGAGTCCTGCCTGAAGGCAAGTAGGGACTTTGGATTAAAACCCCCTTCTCTGTAGGTATTAGTTTTAAAGAGCAATGGTAGAAATGACACTACATGGTCAAGAGATCTATCGTACATCACGGTGACTACGATGATTGCAGTATTGCTATATATAAAAATAGCTAAGTGAGTAGGCCTTATTCTCACCACACACAAAAAATGATAACCATGTGAGGTATGTTCTGTTAAACAAATTGCTAAGCCATTCTACAGTATATACATCCTGTGGTAACCATAAATATATACATTTTCATCCTGTCAATTACAATAAGTATTTTAAAATAAAAAAATAACCTTCTGCTACGTAAGACCCTGCAAAGGACATAACACAGGATCATTTCAACCAAGCAGACAGATGGAAGAAAGTGCACTGCTGAAATGCTTCAGCAAAAAATATTTTTAAGGAACTGTTACTGTATTACTTGCAAATAAATGCAGCAGATCACATCATTACCAATGCTGGTGGCCCACGATCACCCTCATGAGACATCAATCACAGTCCCCTACTGTTTTCTCTGTCCCTGACTCCTACCACATCCCAGCAACTCAGCAAGCACTGAATGGATAATTACTAGCTGACTAATCGACTGTAGTCACCTCAACTCAGTTTGTAAGATTTTTCTCTTGAAAAGGGCTCTGGGAATCAAACGTAGTGAAAAGATGAGAACTATATTTGATAATCGTGATCATTTTAGAAACAGGTGCTTCAAAATTCCTCACACACATATAACTGGGTATTATATGTAGTCAATATGGTTGTGAATATTAGTTAGCTTGGCAAAGTCTTTAGCAGGCGCAAAAGTAAATTCCCACCCGAAATCCCTGAACCTGGAGTTTGCAAAATTCAAATGAATGAAGTCCTAACTACTTAAACATCAAAAACTTGCACACTCACACCCTAAGACGAACATAATAGAAATACCCACCATTCTGATGCCCTTAGCTACTTGGCACATTCCCAATGACAGAGAAGAGAAAGACAGAGAGGAGTCACAGTCAGGGACAGAGGCAGTGACCACAGTGCCATCCCATCCTGTGCAGCTGCCGCCACTCTGGGTCCACACCATCTCCTCTGTCACCTCTCCCGTCACATCCTAACGTGACCAGCGTCACCATGTGGCTCATCTTAATGCCCAGAACTGTGAATACAGTGGCATATGACTGCGCAATTCCTGAAGGGCTCTTGCAGGGTCATCTGGGTACATACGAGGGCCTAGCCACTTTCCAGGAACAGCTGGGCAGGGAATAAAGCACAACCTTGAATTTACCAGAGCTGAAACAGTGGTCTTTTCTGAGCTTCCGTCAAGCGGGTGGGAGGAGGGGCTTAAAATGCTGCATGACCTGGGACAGCTGTCAAAAGTCTTGCCATATTATACAATATTCAATGAGGTCCTATGCAAGCAATAAAGTATGTGTACAGAAGCATTAAAGCTATCTCATGCACCTTTTAAAAAGGAAACGATGTAAGGTGCACTGATATATGGAGTGAGAAAACTAGCTCTCTAAAACATGAAAGCAGTGCATGCAGCCTGGTGTCCTTCCCCATTAGGACAGCAGCACCCGAGTCCCTCCCCTCCTACACAGTCGGCTTTCACCCCCACAGCCGGAGCACTTGCTACCTGACTTCTAAATATGTGCTGAGTGGCTCTTGATTGTTATTGGCCTTGTAGAACATACCAGCTGCAACATTCTCAGAAAAAAGGCAAACGCAGGCCCTTAAAAGCAAGATATTTTCAGGCAAGCAATTAACAGATACTGAGAAAACTTACATCCCTTTTTTCTCCAAACATTTCTTTCCCAAGATTAAAACTAGACTTTAATCTTGTCTATCTGAAACATGGCACCTGTTACCACGGTGCTAAGTAATCTTTAAAGAATCTGTAAAACTAGACCCAAAGAAAAAGCTCTTCCCCTCTTTTAAGGGGAATATGTCCTTAAGATTATACAAGAATCAGTGGGAAAGGGTCTCAAGGACAGGCAGTTCATCCCCCCATGAGCCTCAGGGCCTTAGGGACCTGCAAGGCCACAGGAATGTCAGGGACTTCAGTGGCCTCTGGGCTTCAGTCCAGAATCTCTTCACTTATAAAGCACAGGTCACTCCCTGCTGCACTTTCATATAGAAGTATTTGTAATTTTTACAATGTAACCATAAAAACTGCTATTTCAAATAAAATTCAAAATTTTCCAATTATCTGCACTACTGAAACACAATCCTGAAACACAAACAGAGCTCCAGCCAATGCACCAGCTGACAGACACATTTACTTAGAAGAAAAAACAGAGCTATCTTTCCCTCACTCCAACCCACTCCCAAGGCTGGGAAGGCCTGTAGGCATAGTTTTGTCACACAGCACAATTCTCATCATTACGACCTTAAAAGAAAAAGAAGTTCACCTCAGACCTGGCCTAGAACACTCTTTCTGACCCCCATTCCAAAGATGCTAAGCCACTTGCTCACACCACACTGCCTGCGGGAAGACAGATCTCTGAAAAGGACCACATACAGCAGTGTGGACAGAACTTTCTGAGTGTGACAGCTGTGCGCTCCTTGAACTGGCTCCTAAGAAAGTCACCATGCTGGGGCTGGATGTTAGGACTATGGTTTCCATTCAGTCCCTCCATGTCCTTCCTGTAGGAAAATCACTGGGACTCCACACTAGACTGAAACTGAAACAAGGCTACCAACCTCATGATGCACCTCAGTGAACCCCAAACCTCTTGCACAGTCCCTCACCTCAAAGCTGACACCAAGGCAATGCTCAATGGTGACAGCTGATGCTGAGAAATTCACATTCATACACATGAAATTCACGTGCACAGCCCATTTCACAGATTTAAAAAATTAGCATCTGAAATGGCTTAAAACTAAGGCCTGTGGGGATCTCATGGCTGCTTTAAAGTGGAGAATGAGGGGTGTCACAGACCACTCTGTGGGGCACGGTGGGCTTTGCCTTCCGGAACTGCTGCTGGTGCCTTATCTTCTGCTTCCCTCTCACTGGACTCCTCACTGACCGTAGAGTCGGCATCAGAGGGGGAAACTCTGCAGACATAAAACAAAATACAAACATTCAAAATAAGAAAGAACAAAAACAAAAAGGTCACATTCATCTGGAAGTCAGGCTTCCAGGCACAATTGGTAGAGGTGAGACACTGACCTAAAGGGTCATACTGACCTAGAAATTCAACCAATGCTAGGAAACCAAGTGCCAGCCTGGAGGACAGCCTCACAACTTCCAGGGGCCCACGACCCAGATCTGGGCCCCGGGTCACTTCTCGACAGGCAGTCTGGGTCCAGCCCAAGTCAGATCAAAAAGAATCTGGGGTCTGTGCCTAGTTTGGGGTCAACAGGGCCTGAGAATTCCCTAGAAGGCCCGGTTCTGCAGTCACCCCAAACAACTCCAGATCTTTGGAAGATGTCCACATATACAAGGACCCCTAATGAGATTAGCATCTTTATAAAAAACATCTACTGTATTGTGGCACCCAGGTTGCACCAGCCCTCCCTGCACCTAGGCTCCCTGGCTTCTGTGAGAGTGTGAAGCAATAAGAAATTCTGGGGTCCCCGCAGCATACTGAAATATGTAGTTATCCCTCAGTATCACACTTTTAGTGTCTCCGCGGACACCAAAATCCGTAGACATTCAAAGACCCTCATCTAAAATGTCACAGCGTTTGATAGAACCTGTGTTCCTCCTCTGTATTCTTTATACTGTCTCGGGCTATTTACAATGTTAATTTAAGGAGTACTTGTCATGTTGCTTAGGGAATAATGATGAGAAGAAAATGTCTGCGACTGTTTAGTAAAGATGCAATTTTTCCCCAATATTTTTGATCCATAATTCGTGGAACCTGTGGATATGAAAGCTGAAAGTGTAGAGGGACAACTGTATACACCATGCAGATCACCAAGGTGCTGTGACTAGTATTCACAGTAAGGATACTGGAAGGAAAGAAACACTTCACAAAGTTTTACTAGCACGCTCAATTACCTTTAACAATTTGCTTTACTCTTGGCTCGCAAAATAATTAAGTAAACAGCATCTCTCTATATGATTCATTTTCTTTCATAAGGACCATGCTCTCACATCTATCACATTGCTAAAACTAGGCCAGGCCCCATGAGTAGGTTTTCTGATAAGACAGAAATCATGACATCGTTTCGAATGTTGGTTTTGTCGCATACTTTTTTACACGTAGCCGCAGATCAGCACTTAAGAGTTGCAAAGCTCAAAGAAAGTCTGATAATCGGAGGCTCCAGCAGCCAGAGCCCGACCATGCTATGATCTACAGTCAGCCTCCCAAGACCTGATTCTGAATTTTTGTCTTCTTCCACCTCCTCGCTCCAGCAAGTCTCACAGTTTCAGAAGGTAACAGGGGACTTCCTGGTGGTTTGGAAAATGAGTAAGTGATTCTCCTCATTGCCCTACTCTCATAGAGAGACTGGAATTAATTAGGAATGGGGAACTGGACAGGGAGGAGGTGATGAGGAGTCCCATGCAGTGTGCTAACAAAGTGACAGCACAGGCAGCTGAGAAAAAGAGCAAACAGGAGGACATGGTGAAGGTCACCTGCAGACAGAGCAGCGAAGTCACACGCAGCCATTGGCACCACAGGCAAGAGCACAGAAGGCCACACTGGCTGGAAATGTGCACTGGGCCTAAACGCACTGTCAAACCTTCACAAATAGCAGCTCCTGATCTTAAATCACACAGCCCACTTCAGTGGCTCAGCAGACTGGGCTTAGAAGCCTAGGGTCCTTGTGCAACCTGGTTACTCACCAGTCTCCTGTGCTCGTGCCATTGGCCCTTCTGATATTGGAAATTGACAACCTGAAAGCATACAGTGCTCTGAGATAGAGAACAACCCAGTAAGCCCAGTAATAACCTTCCTCTGTGGCGGACGTTCTTGGAAGGGATCTTGGACTTGGGGCTTGGCACGTCTCCATTTTCCGAGGGTGTGGTGTGGTCCTTCACAGGTCCTGGCAGTGGTGCTGGCTCATGAATAATCAATATATCATCTTTATTGTGTTGACCCAGATGTTGCTTGGCAAAATCGAAGCCCTTTACGCTAGGGATCTGCAGCTAAAACACACACACACAGGCACACATAAATGAGGTGGTTAATGTGACATCTGAGGACAGGAAAGAGGTGTCCTGTGGGTGAATAAAAGGAGCTCGTGTCTGACCCAGTACCATAATGTTAATGCCACTAGCCAAATTCCACAAGCATCTCCAGAATGCTGTGCATAAGGTCCTGTTTGTATCCAGAATTTGTGACAGATGCTTGCAAAAGATTAAACAAGAGTAGAAGGATTAAATAGCAAGTCCATAATACTAAAGCTATTCCAAGACAGCATCTGCCCTGTGGCCATAGTGGCAAATCATGAGCCAGTAACTAAAAGAGACCAGCAGGATGAAACTTTATAGGGAAAGGGCACAAGAGCCAGACCTTGATGGTGGACAGAACCTGGAAGGAAGAGGAAAACCAAAAGCCTTCCCGAGGGCCTCAGGTGACTTAGTAAGGAGGCTGCTGGTGATGTGCCGGTGAGGAGGCCTGGTGTGACTTTTGCTAGTGGGTTCTCACCCTGAGGACAGCACAAAGTCGAGAAGCAGTGGGTCCAGGTAAGAGGACGTGTCCAGTCAAGAAATAAAAAGTATCCCTCTAACCGCCCTCTTCACACACACACACACACACACACACACATATATATATGTTTAAGTTTTTTAAAATTTAGTGAGAAAAAGACACATTGCTATGAATCCCACTCAAAATAATTCCCCTTGCTTCAAACACTCATCCCATCATCTTGCCACTTTCTAAAGCAGTTCTGGGAGTCCTCTTTCTTATACTGCAGATGATATAATCAGTATCTGAGGAGGAAGAATGCAGGGGACTCCACATGCTAATTTCTCTGGACAATGAGAAAACCACTTAATGTTTCTAAACATGCAGATTTCTAAGATGCAAGCAAGGGACCAGTAAGGGAACCCAGTGATATCCCAAATGCATAAAACCATAGAGGCTTGAGCCCAAAATCTTAGCAACGAAGATGGGGAGGACTGGATAGCTCTGGAAAGCTGGCAAAGGGACTGGAAGCCAAACAGGAGCGAGAGTGAAAAGCCACCGGTTACCTGAAAGTTTCTGGCAGGGCAACCCAGTAAGGCTGGGACAGAAAGAAAGTGAGTATGAAGGGATGAAGGCTGAAGTAAATAAACGACAGGTACACTAAACATACATGCTTGGTGTGAGGTGATAGCAAAGACCCAAAAAGCAGCTGCAGAAGGTCAATAGCTCAGAGGAACTCCAAGCTGAAAGGTGACACAGACAGCCCTCTCTCCAGAAGGCGGCAGCAGCAAAGTTGGGACTTTTCCAGATTAATACAGATCTAGAGATAAAATGTGGAAGACTATCTAACAATGTGGGGCTACGAGTAAGAAAAAGAAGCAAAGAGGAAAAGAAACAGTACCTTCAAAGAAACAGAAGAATTTTGAAAGTTCAAGGTAATAAAAGCCAAGGCAAGAAAGAACTTCTAGAAAGGACCAATACCAAACCCGCAACCGGACCTGGGAGCCAACCAAGGACCAGTGGTGAGACAGGAAGGATACTTGAGGTACCCAGAGATGTGGGAACCTTTTTTGTTACTAGTGCTAGGACTCAACCCGGAGTGTTGTGCATGTTAGACAAGAGCTCTACCACCATAGCCCCGGCCATTTTTGATGAGGAGGAATGATTTTAAATCCAGCTTGTAGAGCACAGAAAAATAAACTACATGCAAAAAAATCATCCCAAGGGGTCACCTCAGTAGGAACACTTCCTGACAACCAAAGACCCTCCTTGGACAGCTTTTGAGACAAAAGACACAATCACCCAGGTCTAAGAAGTAATTTTCAACAATCTACTGCATATAAAAGCAAAAGTATTTATTGTATTTGCTTTAACTGTATCACAAATAAATGGCACTGGTGGCGTAGGTTTGTGACCCAAGGTCTTTCTACCACCAAAACTCCAGAACTGATGGAAAAGTGACCTGCAAAAATGATTTCTACCAGTAGAGGGGGACAAAATGTACCGTAAAGGTAGTTTACAAAAGACTTGCTCAGAAACAAAAGGCAAAGACTGACCGATCACCTATATTCTCCAAGGAGAGAGACCCTGTTACTCTGTACCATGCACCCCCAGGCTCACTCAGCAAAGGAGAAAGCTCAACCTGCCACTGTAGGAGACTGGATTACCACAGGGATCTTCAACTGGGCCCTTGGGTGAGAAAGAATCAGAAAGACCAAAGCACACAGGGCAGCAATGAGAAATCTCAAAGGCACTGGCTCCCCCGCATCCTGGGACAGGCCCAGCCAAAGCTTTGCACTTATCTGTCTCGCTCACAGGAGGGATGCTCAGGGCCTGCCAGCACTGTGCCAGGAAGCACCCATGTGCCCTGACCTGCACGCTGGCTAGGAGGTCACCAGCCTCACTTCCAAAGCTCTGCAAGCACCTGTCCTGACAGGGGTCTCAGTTTGGGTCTTAAACTCACATTTCACATCAAAGGACCAAAGAGTGAAATTTCCCATGTTGTTTTTGTTGTTGTTGTTGTTGTTTCCTACTTTTTTGTTCTGTTTTAGTTTGGCTTGATTTTGGGGGACAAGGACCTGCTATGTAGCCCAGGCTGGTCACAGACTTTCGATCCTCCTGCCTCAGTGCTAGGGTTACAAGTATATGCATAGCCCCTGGCTCCATATTCATTTTTAAAAGATCAAAATCACAAGTTCAAATTAAAGGAACAAATACTAGAGCTAAAATAGAACTGCATACATTCTTGAACATTTACTCAGATTTGCAGAATATTTTCATGAACATCTTGAACTAATGCACACTGAAAGTCTTGTGTTCAGGCCTCCTAATGAAAAATCTTTTGCTCATTGTCCCTCACGGCCTCTTTCTGCTTATTTGTCATCCCTGTGGACTTACTAGATTTTAATTAACCATACAGCAACGTGGTTGGGTTCTACTGTCAATAACACATTTAATAGCAATCATCAATATGCCTTTTACAAACCTAACACTTACTAGTTCAATGTTCTTTCCTGTCTACTGTAAATTTCCATAAAAATTTAACTCTTAAAAACTGAAGCATACATATATAAATATAAATACTATGTATATGAGAGTTAGGCAAGCCAGAAGCAACTCTTAAACTTTAAAGAAACCTATTCCATATGATTAGATGGATTTCTATCAGACTTCGACATGCTGTCCTAATTTATGGAGCACATAATTATAAGTGTTATTTTCACCTTGAAAAGGAATGACAAACCCACTATAATTCTCAGGTGTCCAACTGCTAAGGCTTCTTAAGATAGCTAGAAAATTAAAATTTGACACTAACTGCTCCTAGCTGATAGTGAAAACCTCAACGAGCAATTTCCAGTTTCAGGATGCTGCACTGGTCCTGCTGCACCTCCTTGCAGCTCCCGAAAAAAAAGTGAAATAGTACCAGACAGAATCAATGATCCTCTAAACACTGTCACCACCATTTACTAAGCCTCACTGCCATCTTTTTTGGTATATTTCCAGTAAGAAGGAACATGTCCCTAAGGACCGGGCAATAATTTCTTTTAGCACATTATGGGTTTGCTTTACCCAAATGGGGGGAGCTACAGGTTACTTCCTCTAAGCAAAGACAGCAATATAAAAACACAAGCAGTACTGGCTCCTTCAGTACTGGGTGCATGGCTCACATCTAGGCACTAAACACCTCCCGTGAGAAACCGTCTGGGCTCATGTAGGAAACAACTAGGATGACGCACATGAAATATGGCAAAAACGTCAGAGTACTATACAAACACAACTGGGGACTGAGCGTTATAGACACTGTTGGTTGATGAGACCTCAAGCAGTTCATATAAATAGCTGAGTCGTCAAACATTAGATGCAGCTATAGACATAAATTTAGATACTATATTTTGAAAGTCAGCAACAGCATGTGACACATGGTAGACCCTCAATAAATATTTGATGACCGAATGAACTCCAGAAAGGTCAGCTGAAGCACCTAACTTACTGGATTTTATGAGGAGCCAAGAAAAGGCCCCATGTCATAAATGATATATGCAAGTCCTATTGGTTCACTGCTGATCCCAACTAACAGCTTTAGTTTGTGTTTGTTTTTGTTTTTTTTCCAACTAACAACTTTAAATACACATCTTGCAAGCTGGATAAGTTGCAGTCTTCTACAACAGCAGAAACTGGGCAACTATCTGTGCTTACAGGCAAAACAAAAGTCATTACACACGAGAAAAAATCTTGAGCAACACCCTCATCTCCTTTGTGGAATTCACTCATTTTCTTTCATTTCTACTTTTCTAGACCACTATAGCTAGTTTCTCCATTTCTTTTTTTTCTTTTCTTTTCTTTTTTCAAATCTAGAATTAAGCCTGGCTAGCACTATTATGTCCCCAGCCTTCACATGCAGAAGAGGCTTCAATGAGTATTTTAGAAAAGAGGAGTCAAGATTAATTAGAGTCTTCAATATTCATATTAGGACCCACTTATTTCGGAAGAAGGATGGTTCTTTTGTTCTTTCTTTCTTTCCTTTTTTAATATATCACAGAGGGGACAGGCCACCTTGTCTGTGCCCCACTAAAACACATCACCCAACAAGTCAGGGAGGTCTGGGAGAGCAGGTCAGTCGAGTAACAAGAGATGTCTGATGAATTTAAAAACACGTGGGCCATAAATGTAATGAGAGCCAGATGGACGGAGGCACAATGAAGTCCCCAGTGCGCAGGGTCAGCCTGGCCCCCTGGGAAGGGGTAGTTACGATGACAATAGAAACCACAGCGCAAATCTCAGCAGGGTGTGAATAAAAAACGTGCAACCCTGTAGAGCCTGCCACTGTCAGCATTTGTTACTAGACGGGTGAAATTTGTAAAGAATCCACACAACCACCATGCTGTTTCCACTCAGAAGGTGAGGACAAGGGAAAGATACTGCCATCTGTCTGTCTTCCTGTGGTGGGCAGAGGGACCCTTGTAACTCAGGGGAGGGGCAGCACATCACAGTCAGCTGACTGAGCAAACCTCCACTCCTGCACCCTGCGCATGGCGCCGGAGTCACACCAGCAGGCTGGGTCTGCAGGAGGGGAAAAGCAGTCACGAGGCCCCTGGAGCCTCGGTCTGTACTGCCTTCCCAAGTGACCACTGCAAATGAAAACATCCCTGCAGAAAAGCCTGTGATGGCTGCCCACTGCCCCAGCACCAGCTCCAATCCCAGGGCCTGGACCTTGTGGGCTGTGCCCCAGCTCTCCTGAGCTACTCGGTTCCCACTGCTGCCCAAGTCACCTCCTTCACCTCTCCCCTCCTGTCCAGCAACACCTGCTCTCGGGAGACAGAAGCCTAATGTCTGCTTTCACTGACTGCTCCTTCTGCCCCACTACAGCCCTGGAGGCAGAGGTCGCATGTTGTGAATTTGTCACTTAGCCTGGCTATGCTGGCTCAGAAGTTTGGCTCCTGGACGTCCACGGGCTGGGGCAGATCATTCGCACTGCCCTCAGTGTCAACGTCAGGAGCAAGCAAGGGTGCCAACCCCTCAGGGGCCATGATGCCAGACCAGTAACTGGGTGTGGACTGTCCTCTTCAGAAGGGACAAGTTCCACAGGAAACACCACACCCAGCCAATGCCATTCGCAGTAAAGAGGATCCAAACTAGGGTTTTTTGGGCAAAAGTAACAATTACTTTGAACTACAGATAAAGGAAAGACACATGGTTTTATGGGGCTTTTTTCTTTCTTATTTGAAATTTTTAAAAAAGGGCCCTGCCTCAACATGACAAAATGGCCTCCTCCACTTATCATGTTTCAAAAATAATCTACTCCCAGAAAACCTGAAGAGGTCTCCTTCTCATTACAAGGGGAAGTGGGTGTAGACTGTAGGTTAGCAGACTTATTGCTTCCAGATGTTTGCAGCTCTGGATTTGCTAATGGATTTCAGAAAGTATGGGAAGGCAGAATCAGGGTCGGGTGAGTGGGATGGAGAGAGAAAGCAGAAAGCACAGAAGCAGGGGAAGGAGCCCCAGCATCAGGAGCATGACGGTATCTCCACAGTATACCCCAAGGAACAGGACACAGGCCCTTCACGACTGCCATGCAACCTCAGAAGAAGGCAGAGGAAGTAGGGCGCTTGTTCTGAAGCTAAAGAAAGATCACCATTTTCCTACTGCAGACCCATGAAAAGATCTGTATGGCAGGTTCCTGCACCAGCAAAACCAGACCCTGCTTCTGAAACCTGGTGAGATCTTGCCAGGGAGCTCCGTGCCAAGGACCTCAGCAGTAACCAGCTAGAAACGCGTATGTGAAAGCTCATAGCACCTAAAAGCGAAGAACAACTCCATGGCTGGAAGTTCTATTCGCAACTCTGCCCATTTGATTCACAGCAACATGTGGCAGGCAGAAATATTTCAGATGTAAAAGTATGAGAAGGAGCAAGTATGGGGAGCATCCTACTTTCAACCCAGAGATGCTGACCCTGGTCATTCACTGAAGTACAGCTAATGGATGGGCTTCCCCAGAGAGGGTGGACAGATGTAAGGGAATCTGGACCAGAAGAGCCCTAAACACATAATCATTGGTGCTGGTCAAATCTCCCTGTAACAATACGCTTTCACCAGAACAAGAACATTTCCTAGCCTACTGTGGATCTTACTACAATGAAATTCACACTATGAATCATTCAGTATGTGAAGGATTTCTTCCATGCCATTCACTAGTGGAACAACAACACAACACCCTCAGCAGCCTATGCAAATAATAAGTAAAGACAGGCAGTAAACATAGTATTCATGCATAAAATACTTCTAATATAGCCACTTGCTCACAACTTAATCAAAATTTTATAATTTTGGGTAAACGCATAAGAAATCACTTTTACAAAAGCAAAATAAATTTTAAAATGAAACTTTTCTTCATTTGACAGGGCAAGGTTTATAATACGCAGAATTCTTCATCAACAGACAATCAACAACACTCAAAGGTTATGAGGTGCCAACTGGTTTCATTTATAATACTAGTTTATCTTAGTTTGCTTGAGAAGAAACAGTTGTGCTATCATGTGTTTTTTTCAAACAATCTTTTTGACATGTCTTATCCTCTGAGTAACTACTTTGAAGATAATGATACACAGTACAATAACTACTGTTATTCTCTTACTATTTGCTCATGAAATTGTATTGTTTTCATTAAATAAAAAATAAGCAAAGATACAAACACTTGAGAATATAACCTAACTCTCATAAAAATGTCAGAATTGGTGTGAATAAAACAGGTTTCTAGGGCAATCCTTTATTCCTTATTCTTTTACCTTTTGCTTGTTTATTCTTAAACTTGCAGAGTCCAGTTCTCTAACAGTTTAGATCTCTAGTGGGTGCAGGTTATTTAACGCAGTAGACTACCACTTCCAGTTTCCTTGGTAAATACACTGACTGGCATTTATGCTGGGCTAAATGTCTGCAGCTGGTAGTTCTTCTCCAGGAGACTGGCAGGATTTTGCTCACACTAGTGAGCTAGATGCTGCCCCAAAGTCAATTTCTTTGCCCAGAAACCTGATGTGACAGTCAAATATTACAGAAACAGTTGAAACATACAAGTGAGAAGAGAACTGCTATTTCCATAAAACTAAGTGGAATGCTTTACAAAGACACAGAAAACATGGGTTGCTGAAAAAAAAATTGCTGTCAAATTAGGTATAGGTAAATCAACTTTTAAAAACTGGAGTGGGGTCGAGGGTAGAAGGAGGCATTGAAAAAAAAATCAAGAGCGTTTTGCACTCAGATTGCTTTGTTGTTCCCTAAAGAAACCTAAACTGAAAACTGCAGCTCATACATGATGAGTATTGTTTGTTAGGAGAAAAACCACACAGAGTTCCTCTCAGTAAACCAACACTCGGAACAGAACAAACCAATTAGGATATACTGAAAAACTGGCAAATAAATGATCAGTCACGTAATTGAAATTAAAATGTAAGACGTGTATACCAATGTTTAATGACTAAATGGTCTTGATCAAGTGGATATGTAGGCTTCTAACATGGTGGATGGGAAATAAAGGAGCCATCGATGGAGAATCCTGTATGAAAGAGCTAGATACCATGACCCGAGAAATCTTCTCTTGGCCCCTGTTCTCTGAAAATATCCAGGAGTGAAACAGAATTCACACAGAGGAAGGACAGAATCTTCAACCGAACCTCTCAAAAATAACGTCATGGTAGAGCTAGAGCTCCTGGCACATCTCAGCCTTTATACAGCTTCCTGTTCTTGAAATGTACAGCAGTTACCACTACATAAGCACTGGGTTTGTGTAGCAGACACCACCCTGAGACCCAGAAGGCTTCCTCAATAACCTGCTCCCCAACTTCAGCATCAGGAGCCTAAATCGCCTCTGTCCCACAAGACTGCTCCTGCGAACACCCCGAAGCTGGCCTTACCTTCTGCCGCTGCTGAATGTTGGCTACGGTGTCGGGCTGAAAGTCCAGCTTATCCGTGCGGCACAGTTTCCAGTACAAGATTACGATAATCACTGTCACCACCAGCACTGGGATGACCACACCAACAATGAGCCACAGGTTGTTGCTCTGGGACTCTGGCGATGGCCTCTTCGCCCTGTCCACAGCTGCAGAAGAGGAAGCAGAGGGTTTCAGTGGCGCCTTCTAACTCGCACACTGGTCTGGATGGGCCTCCTTCCAGGTAAAAGCTGGCGAGGCCCTGCCATTTCCGCTCAAGGCAAGAATATAGGTTTTACTCTCCAGATGGCAGGAGATGCAATGCAACAAACACACGCAACACCAACATGTGAAACAAATGAGGGCCAGGATGACATGTGAGGGGCATCTGAAGGCTCAGAGATAATTTAATGGCAAAGCTCAGTTGGTCCTGGGTCTCCTGCTTTCTAGCTTATTCTACTAGTTCACCCTCAAATTCTCTCACTGCAGGACATTCATATACCAAAGGTGGCCTTGTACTCTGTTCAAAGCAGTTCTCTTCACAATTGCTCACCGGGGTGCATGAGCCAAAACTGGAATTTGGAATTTGGGGAAGAACGTCCTCTCCTATCCCCAACCCCTCCACTAAGCCCCTCACTTACCAAAAGCATTTACTAAGAGGGGAGACACAGCTCTAAACACAGGAGACAAGGATGAACAAGTAGACAAACCCTTCAAGGATCACAGGCTCTGGGCGTGGTGGTGCACACCTATAATCCTCAGTAGGCTGAGGCAGGAGGATTGCTATGTGTTTGAGGCCAGTTTGGGCTATACAGTGACTTCCAGGCCAGCCTGAACCGCATAGAAAGACTCTGTCACACACACACACACAAAAAAAAAAAAAAAAAAAAAAAAAAACAAAAGGAGCACAGGGTCTAGTGAGGGAAGAGGGAATCACTGAAGAAACAAATCACTAAATAATATTTAATGCTGAGTACTGTAGCACACTGCACACCAAGAGTAATAACTAAGGCGATGAGCACAAAGGCAGTGGTCATCACCACTGTAGCAGCTGGGTGTTGACAGAGTCAGCACTGCTCAAAGCAGCACTGATCACAGGAGACAAAAATGGGAACAACCCAACTGGCGACGCACAGGTGAGCAGATAAACAAAACATGCTACATCCATACAGCAGATCAGCTTTTTTTTTTGGTACCGGGGATTGAACTTGGGTCCCTGTGCTTGCAAGGCAGGATACACTACAACACACACAAACCTAGAAATGTTACGCTGAGCAAAAGCAGCCAGACACAAAAGAATAAATAACACATAATCCACTTCTACGAGGTACCTAAAACAGGCGAATTTATAGACACAGAAAGGACAGTGTGGTATTGTGTGGGACTGCAGTACATGAGTAAAGGGGTCTTACTGAACAGGCAGTTTCTTCTGAAAGGATAAAAAACCCGAGGTGGACCATGAGGATGGATGCAAACATTGTGAATGAGTTCATGCCACTGAACTGTGCGGTGAAAATGGTCAATTTTATGCTACTTATAATTTACAATATTTTTTTATATATAGTCAGTCTATGGCCATACCACCCTGGATGCACCCAATGTTATCTGATCTCAGAAACAATTTTTTTATATATAATCAACATGATCCTGAAATCTTTCTCAAGGAAGTTTTAAGATTAGAACTGAAGTCCTAACCTATGGTTCATGGGCACTATCTTCAGTTCCTCTTGTGTGACTTAATCTGAACTCTTGAAACATGCACTTTAATGGAAACTGCTTGAAGGCACCAATGTCAATTTTTAAAAATTAAATGAAAGAAAATCTTATTCCTTTGGACCCTGTCACTCCCAACCCACCCATACCCGGCCCCTTGTCTTTCACACCTTGAATGATCCTGCTTCCTCACCTGTGTGCCCCCAAATTTACTTCATTGGCTCCTTGCCCGCCCCTGCTGCCAGGACGGGGCCCTGTGTCCTCTGTGTCCCAGGATCCTCTCAGACTTAGCTTCCCATAAGGCTCAGTGCTTCTCCCATCCAGTTATGTAACCCAAATGTCCCTCTTTCTACCCAGCCTTTTCATCCCTTATGGCTGCTTCCTAACAATACTAATCTCTCCAGTATTTAAAGCCTTTTGTTCTTCTTGTCTTTGTTTTGCAGATGGTTCCTTCTTATTCTTTGGAAATACTTTTTACATAAATCTATCAGCTTGGTACACTGCACCGCTCTGCACATTAGTCTGGCCAAGATGCCAAGTCTGCTCTGTTCATATACATCTTAGTCATCTGGGCAGGGACTGTCTTATGCTCCTCCATACCTGCAATGGCTAATCCCTGCCTTGGGGTCCAAACATCTCTGCTTGAAGACCTAATAACTGAAAAGACTTTTGGGGCAGCTATACGCTGACAGACCACAGGGAGAGAGCAGGCAATCTCTACCCCACAGGCTACGAGACAGGCCAAATGACAGCAGAGATGACAGGCGACATGGGAGAAAGTGACCAAGTGTTAAAAACTGGTATTTTAAAATTTGTTTGAATTGAATTTATATTTGTAGCTCACTCTGCACAAAAACAACTGACAATATGAAAGTAATGACAGCATCAACCAAGAAGTGGAGAGATACTATTCTTAGTTCTAACCTAATAAAACATCAGAGAGACAGAGATGGGGGAAAGAAAGTCCTGACACAAGTGTCCCCGAGGCACCTGGGCTGGCCCTGGCGCTGGCTAAGGCCTCCTTCTACCACCAGCCCTGAAGTCCCAGAATTGTTGCCCATTTGGTTTCTGGCACTGAACAGAGGAAGGAGGGGGCGAGACCAGGTGGGAAGAGGCTTGCAAGCGCCCATATCCTGTCACAGTTGCCCTTGCTTAAAATGTCAGTGGAGGGCAGCCTCTGACAGCCAGGACTGTCACACACAGCGCAGGGGCAAGCAGTGCTTTTCCTGTGACTTTCTCACCGCTCTAGAACAGGCCACACTCCTGTGCAGCTGGATCCTAAATACTCCAGCACCACCTGCCTAAAGGTTCTCATCCACTCTCTCCCTTCCTCTTCCATCAAATGGGTAAAGAACTTCCTGCTACTAAGGATAAGTTTGAAGCTGTCATTTTTTTTTTTCAAAACTGTTGTTTTGTCTCCCATGCATTCTCAGTAAAGAGTTTTTTAGGATTCTCAGATGCGTAAGACATTTCCTGAGCCCTTTATGGTCGGGAGAAGTTTCTCTGTGCTCTTATAAGGGCCACAGAGAAGTATCCACGGTAAATATCAGGCTGGTTCAGAAAGATCTAGTCAAAGAAATGTGCTTCTCATGCCTCCCCTTTTTCTTCATTTCAAATGTGTATCCAAAATCTGAAAAGGTGGAAAAGCGGCACTGAAAGCAGCAACCGCCCGGGGGCAAAAGCCAGGTCCCTTCCAACAATAATAAAAAAGTAGCAAAATACTTCTTTCTAGACTGTGGAGCAGTGTGAGGACTGGGTGGGGGAGCGGTGGGACTGGAAAGGGTGAGGATCAAGGATTTCTTTGTGTTTGCAGACCCTGAAGGAAGCCAATAAACCCAGAGTGCCCCTCCCAGCTTCCTGTATGACTCACCATCCCCATCAGTGATCTGAACGTGACACAGAGGATTTTGTAATAAAAGCAAAACAAGCACCTTATTTTACCTAAGACAAACACTTTTAAAAGAGAAATGGTACAGGCATTGGAGAAGAGATATTAAAGTTGATCCCAGCATTCAGGAGGCCGACACAAGAGGATCACCATTAGTCTGAGGCCAGCCTGGGCTACACAGTGAGTTCAAGGCCAGCCTGGACTGCATAGCAAGACCTTGTCTCAAAAAAAAAAAGTTGATGTAAGATACTGTAACTCACTAATATTGTAGATACAAAATGGCCAGATAGGAAAACAGCCCCACTGGCAACAATAATAAGCAAATAAAATGTGTTTATTAAAGGAGATCTGAGCACATTAACTCTGCCAACAAGCATCCTAGGCCAGGGTGGTAGCTCACACCTGTAATACCAGCAATGAGGGAGGCTGAGCGAGGAGGATGACAAGTTCAAGTCCCCTCTGGGCAACTTAGCACAATCCTGTCTCAAAATTCAAAAAATAAAAATAAAACAAGGGATAAAAACGTATCAGTGGCAAAGTGACCCTGGGTTTGATCCACAGAAGTACAAAACAATAAAAAAATAAAAAACAAACATTTTATGTACAATGCCTGCTCATAAGGGTTTCAGACACAAGTCTACTGTACACACATCAGAACACAGCTCACTGTCAGGACAGCCACACAATACATCTCCCAACTTACGCTGAGCAATAGCGCCTTGAATTCGGTATCCCAAGATGATGGCTGCTCTCTGAAGGTCGATCTTATTAATCAGATCAGAAGATGCGACGGCACTGAGTCTCTCTCCATCCTGATCCTCCAAAAAGTAGATGAGCTGCGCAGGGTTGTCGTCTCCCTCCAGCCTGGACACATTCACCACCTGAGACCATAGGAACCATCAGTACTGGGAAAGCTCATGTTTCTCAGGCTACTTAATCCTAACTGTGCTGCCAGGAGTCATTCCAGGCCTCACAATAAGCTCCTTACACTGGCCGGAGCTCTGGATCGCCATGGCACTCACCCTCAGTGAGAAGAGAGACCACAAAATGAAAGTTCCTCTGTGCAGAACACAAATGTGCTTTGTCTACCTCAGCGACTTCTCTGAGATAACGGGGCCAGCAAGACATGCAGAAGATAGGACTGGCAGGTCCAGGCAGTCTGGAATCATTACCAAGGAGTTCCAACATGCCACCATGTCACGGGACGGTGATGCTATCCTTCCTCCTACAAATGGTTCCTCCTAACCCATTCCTGAACCAATTAGCACTTCTTCCTCCCAAAACCTCAAAACCACTGCTATTTTGGGTAGGCAATTCTTTGGCAGAAAGAGCACTATAGGATGTTAGCAGGATCCCTGCTCTCCACCTGCCATATGCCAGTAGCACCTGCCCCCTCCCTACACTACCCAATGTGACAATCAAAATGTCTCCAGACATAATAAACCTAAGAAATGTGTGCCCTTGTGGGCCAACTACACCTCTGATTTACCCCAGAACGTCTGCATGTGTGTGTGTTAAAGCACAGTCCTCACATCAGTATTTAGAATCTAGTACACTTGGTATACTAAGTACTACATGAAAACAGCATTTCCTTTGTTGCCATTTCTCTTAATAACATGCAATAATTTTATTGCCCCTCTAGACTCCAGCAAAACACTGGGCTTACGTTCTGAGAAAAGGATCAACGAACGCTTTATCTCACACATGCAACTTGAATTTTTGACCTGTGCATCTGCAGTTGGCAAAGCACAGCTGCTACTTCTCTATCCATACATATTTCTGTGACACCGCCCTGTACTCCAAACAGCAGCTGGACCCACCCTTGGCCATGGGAAAATTTCTGGCAATTCAACAGTTTCTTGATTTCACTGTGAACTCCTTCTTCAACATTATGTCCCAAGATCCTTCACAACTCAGGCTTGAACATTGAGCTCTCAAAAATGTGCGTTAGTCTTCAGGCTTTGTCCTGTCCTTTGCTTGGTTTTTTGAGGCCAGTTTCCCAAACATATCTACTCTCCAACCATCTACCCCACCCCACAATGTGCTAGGGCAATGTTTTCCCAGCTTTGGAATGAAGCACTATGAAGAGGCTATTGGGAATTTAGAGGATGATATCTACCTGTCCCTGTACCATCTGCTGATTTGTTCTACTAAAAACGTCAGATAAATTTAGAAAATATGGTTTCTCCTTGTATAAATCATAGCCACCTTGATTATAGACTACAAGCTTGTTCAGTCTCAGAGTAACATAAGAAAGTCTCATTCCAACATCCTTTCTGAGTGATGGTGAATCAGACTTATATGTGGACCCACAACAAGCACAATATCCCAGGGTCACCACCTTGGGTAACACTTTCAATTTCATCTTCAAAATCAGGTTCCGGGGCTGGACCTATAACTCAGCGGTACCTCACAGGCATGAGAACTGATTCCCAGCACCACAAAACAAGTGAGCAAAGCACAAAATTAGTTTCTGATAAAAATCTCATGCTCACCACTGACATTATATGGCCCATTGGAGAAATTCTGAAAAACACATGCAAAAAGTATAAAGAAGAAAATGAGATTCCCCTGAAATTCAAGTAATAAAAGCAAACCACGATAAACATTTTGGCATCCTTCTCCCCTAGAATTCTATATTAATTTTTGGATTATATTGCATATATCTCTCTGTAGTCTCTTTTCATTTGAGCATTTTCTTATATAACACTCACTAATTATTTTTTTAAAACAGGCTGCATCAAAAAATTTAAAAAAAACAAAACAGGCTGCATCATATTCCAGCATGGAAGGGTTTACTATTTATCCATTCCCTAACCACTTGACACTCAGGCTGGCCTGACATTTTCACACTGACACAGCTCAGCGGCCCTCTTGTCCACACCTTCATGCGTGGTCAAGGAGGAGAGGAGCAGAATGTGGTGTGTAAGCAGTCTGCCACACAGCACCGCCACCTGGGCCGTATTTCTATCTTACCTTTGCACATCGCTTTGGCCTCTGAGTATGCAGTCTGAGGGTGCTCTGTGATTTCTTTATGTGCATAAATTAACCACTCTCAGACCCTGAGCTCTACAAAGCCAAGGGCTGTTGAATAAGGCAAAGCTTTTATAACTCATTTTAATTTTTATTCTTTGTCTTAGGCTTATTTGCTTAATGGTTACTTTTGTGGTTATTAGTTCACGCATTTCTCTACAGTTACTGTAGCTGACAAAAGAACTACTTCAGGGGTAGCAGAGCGTAGTGCTAAGAGGAAAATATTTGGTGCAAGTGTTGGTGGACAAGGGTGCCAATTCTAGGAAAAACTGCCACCTCATCCTCCCCCACGTCACTTTGGCATCTTTTTCTCCAGGGCCCCTACACCACCCACCTCCCACCCCTGCCTGCCAACCCCACCCTGCACTTCTGAGTTTCACCCTGGCTTCCTGGTTCTGAAATGCCACAGCTCTCAATACCCCATTTATTTTTCCAGCCCTCCATGTCAGCAATTGGTAGAGGAAAAAGAAAAAAAAAAGAAAAAGCCTGACCTCTGGGCTTCTGTGAGTATGTGCATTTCAAAATGGGTCACTTCTCAATTCAAATAAATCTGTCTTTTGGCAATGGGTCTGCAATTTACCAAAGAGAAGATCTGGGGAAACAAACTGGGTTGTCAGGAGGAGGGATGAAATGCTAGAACAGAGGGCAGAAAGCATCCCCCATGGCAGGGTGTGAAATCCCAATATCCAGGAAGCTGAGGCAGGAGGATGGCGGTGAGTTTGAGGCCAACCTGGGCTACACAGTGAGTTCTAGGCCAGCCTAGACTATGCCCAGAGACCCTATCTCAAAAAAACAAAAACAAAAACAAAAAAAAGCAGCCCTCTGTCCATCACCTAGGTCTTTGCCGGGTGAGTGATTCATCTCTACGATGCCATCAGCGATACTTATCACTCCATATCTGGCTACTTTTTTGATAATTAAAAAAGTACTCTTTGATAAAGGTCATGCAATAGTATGGGAACCATTAACAGTTCTCCCCCTATGCTCCCTAGGGTCCAAGGCTAAACCAACCACTTCCTAAGGGCCCAGTTAATATTTGCCTGGACTCTAGCTGACGCACAACGCTGCCACATTCAGTTGCTCCCTGTCCAAATCAGAACTTCCCCTGGCATTTCCTATTTCCAGGTAAAGCAGCAGACTTTCAGTCTCTCCCCCACCCCCACCCCCGCCCAGAGAGAGAGTACCTGTACCACGCTGTTGCTGGAGGCCACCGTGGCCCTCCTCCACACGCGCCTCCGGGCGGGCACCTCGCTGAGCAGCTGCGCCAGCTTGCGCTCCATCTCCGCCTGAAACACTTCACTCTGCAGCTGCTTCTCCATGACGCCCAGGAGGACTGCGGGCAACAGGGAACACGAGGCACCAAAAGCAAGTCAGCGGTGGGACGAGGTGTGTGTGTGTGTGTGTGCACACGTGCACGTGTGTAAAATTAACGTCCCTACAGGAGGCATCAACATGGCCAGAAGCACCACAAAAAGGGTGAGGGCACAGGAAGCCCTCTCCTCTCATCTGCAGCTCCCCCCATTCAAAGTGCTGCACAGCCTGGTGGCCAGAAGCCCCAGGAATTCAGCCCTGTGGAGCTCTAGAGCAGTGTTTACATCAAATCAAACGTTTTGTCATCTGCACTTATCTCAGAACTTCTGCTAGCAGCCCAGTCCTTCTCTTGTCTGAAAAGTGACTCACAAACTAATCTGAGGAAAGGACGTCTGCCTGTCTGCCTATCTTCTGCTACTGGCCTTAGACAAGATCATCTAGATAGAGATAATCCGATTATCAGCATGGGGGTGGAGCAGCATGTGCCTTTCAGCCAGAACGATTTCCAGTCCTCTCTGAGACATGACCATGGCAGGTATCTTAATCGCTATGAAAATTATCTGGAAAATGAGGCACAGGCACCATGGGGAGCAGGGTCCTGCCATGGGATGTTGCGTGTTAAGTAGAGATTTGCAAGGTTTGAGAATCCCACAAGCAGTGACCTCTCCCTGCAACCAGGCACAGTGTTGCTTGTGCGCTGGGCATCTGTTAGGCTTCCAGGGACCAGGTCAGACCGTCTTTCTCTGCAATAAGCTCGCTCTAAATAGCTGACCCAGGCCTCCGAGATGGCTTGCAAGCTACCTTCGTCACCTTTATAAAACCACACAAATAACACTTTCAGGGAAAAAAGATCTTTGCTTTTGAACCTCATCCTGTTCTGGGTCAAGAGACTATCCTTTCCAGGGAGACTCTGCCCCACACTTGATGTATGAATTTCACAGAAGATCAATCCTTTTTTGTGCCATTAACTCTATGGGACATATTCCCACAGCCCATCTGAATTCTTTTCTCATTCATTCTTTGCCAAGAATTTAAAGTACATTTTGCCCTGATTTTAGGCAACAGGAAAGGCCTGTCATTCTCAATATACCCACATAGACTTCTTATTCTTTTTTTTTTTTTTTTTTTTTTTTTTTGTACCAGGGATCGAACTCGGGTCCTTACACTTATGAGGCAGGCGGCGGAACCACTGAGCTAAATCCCCAGCCCTAGATTTCCTGTTCTTAATATTCTCAAGACGTAAGTTAAACGTACCTGTTCTGACCCACGAGGACTTCAGTAACTGAGATAAGTTGAGCTGTGGGTACTGGAAGGCTGCACAAAGGAAAGAGTCCGAGAAAGGGAGAAATCAGTGAGAAGCAAATCAGCAATAGTCAAAAGGGCAGGTATCCTGGGGGCCCAGGAAAGTCACAACTGTCCTGCCCGCAATGCTTCGCTCTAAGTATGGGAGGAAAAAATGTCAGGTCAGTGTGAGGACTCAGACAGGGAGTAGTTTCTGAGTGTAATGGTGTCTAGGAAAGAAAGGGATGAAAGGAAACCAAGGGTCTTCCTCAGCCCCATCAAGGACATGGCTTCCCAGAGAGGTCACCCCCAAGTCCTGTGAACATAACTGTTCCAGAGCAGAGCATCCGCATGCTGTCCCCTCAGAGCCCTGGGCCTTCCCAGTAAGAACTCCGGGTAAAGTGACATGTCTGGTTACAGTCACAGCATGCCCCTGCTGCCTAGCACACTTAGGATTTTAGCCAAACTACACTGTGCATTGCTGAAAGTACTATAGGTAAATGAGAGCTTTATCCCTGTCTACTCTTATATTTTACAGGTTTTTAAAATTTTATTAACAATGCACTGAAAAAAAATTACAAATCATTGAGCCATTACAAATCATTTGCATTCTGACAAAGAATTCGATTTTTTTTTTTTTTTTTTGGTCCCAGTTTCAACTCTGTAATCTATTATTTTTGCAGTGACTGCTCCCCCTTCCTCCTGCAACACTTCCAGGTGTACTGTGAATCTAACCACCTCGGAGGTTTCCTTTTCATTTATTATTTTTTATTTTTAAATGTATATGCAGTAAAATTCTGCCTTTTGGAATCTGTTTTCCCTTGCTCTGATGACTGCAGGCGGTCGTATACGCACCATTGCAGTGAGGACACAGGGAATTCCATCACTCCGAAATCACCCCATCAGCCCCTCCTTTTTAGTCACTTTTGCTCCCATCATCCACAGATCTGTTCTCTACCTAGAGGTAAGCCTCTTTTAAGACTAGGGTGCTTTTTTGGTTTGGTTTGAGACTTTTTATTTGTTCGTTTGCTTTCTCTCCCCCTCCCCTGTTCATTTGTTTTTTGTGGTACTAGAGATTAAATCCAGAACTTAATTTGTGCCAGGCAAACACTCTACTACTGAGCTACACCATCAGCCTCCTCTTTTCTTTTCTTTTTTTTCTTTTTTTGATACAAAGTCTTGCTAGGTTGCCCAGGCTAGCTTTAAACTAATCCCCAATAGCTGGGATGACAAAAGTGTCACACCACGCTTAGGCTTGCAGTACTTTATAATAGCATCTCTTTACTCTCAAAAACAAAAAGTAAAGAGAGGCCCAGTGCCTGAGCAGCGTTCCTAAGTCCCACCCTGGTTGGGACCTGGGAAGTTCTGGTTTCATTTGATTATACTCTGGACTTCAAACACTCCGTTTAAAAGAAAGACCTCCATGAGACTACTCAGTATGACGCTACCATCGTGGATACATGTCATTGTGTATTTGTCCAAATCCATAGAATGTACATGGCCAAGAGTGAGCCCAACATAAACTGTGGACTCTGGTGACAGCGGTGTAGGTTCATAGGCTGTAACACATAGCCACTTGGCAGGGAGCCAACGATGGGAAAGACTGTGAGCAGGGCAGGGACAGGAAATCTCTGTACCTCTGGAGCATTTTTGCTATGATCCTAAAACTGCTCTAAGACACTCAAGTCGCTTTTGAAAATTAAAAATGCTTTTTTAAAAAGAAGTCCACTGACAGTAATACCCATGGCCACTTCCCCCATCCCCCAAGGGGTATGGAACTCACGTTCTGCGATTTGCAGCACTGGGTACCCCAGGTAGAAGCTGAACTCCACCACACTCAGGTTCCTGAGCAGCTCGCTCACCTCTGACCCATTCAGAAATCCCTGCGTACTTCTAACAGCAAAGATGATGTTGACTGGGCCCCGCCGGGGAGCCACCCTAGAAGAGCCCATGGTGACATTCAAGACCTGAAAGAAGGAAGTCAGAAGTAGCTTCTAAAATGAGAGTCATTCAGTATTTACACATGTGTGACTTATTTATTTCACTTAAGAGTATCACCTCAATATGCATCCATTTTCCTATGAATGACTCTAATTTCTCATTCTTTATGGCCAAATGAAAAAAAAGGAAACAAAGTCTTTGTAAATAGGGAAGGGAGGAAGGGGTGAAGGGAGGGCAGGGGTAGGGGGAAAAAATGAGAACCAAGACCCGTCATGTAAAGGTACAAGATCCCAATAATGAATGTAACTGTACTGTATACCTAAAAAATACCGATAAACTCAATGAGAAAAATAAAATAAAATAAATGAAACAGTCAGCTGGCAGCCTGACTATGCAGTCTCTCCCAGGTACTCCAATCACCTTTTATTTAAAGGTAGTAAAGTTTTGTCAAGGAGGAGAAACTGGCTCTGTAACATGGTTCCCTCTCACAAGACTGTCAACACTCAGCTTACTAAAAATGTTTTTTGTATTAAGTGATGAACTACACACATGTATTTATACTCATTTCCCCTCTGCTTCTACCTCAAATCCCACTGAAACAACAATAAACTGAATGAAGGGGGGGAAATCCACAACAGCACTGGGAATGGAAGAAAACCAAAAATGCTGTCAAGTTTCTGGAAAATGCAGAAAGGATAGGATCATACTGAAATAAACCAGAACAGAGGGAAGCAAGACCAAAACATACACAGGCACAGCCGGGAGCCCCCACAGCAGGGCCAGGAGAAGAACTCAGGCTGGAAGGGGCCTAATTAGCATAATTAATTAAAACTCTGCAGGCCTAAGAGCTGAGTCAATCACCTCCTCCTCTTTCCCTTCCAACTGCCACACCCTGGCGAGCACAGGTCTAGCAGCTGCCACATCTCCCCTCCCCGAAGGGTTGAGAGAACTGAGGCAGGTGAGCACCTGCCCAGGCAGACTGAAAGTCTCTCATGGGTCCAGATTCTAAGCAAAAGGGAGGTAGAGACAGGTAAACTCCGAGGTACATGAAGGTGTACAAGAGACAAAGAGGGAAAGAAAAGAAAGGAGGCTCTGCCCTGAAACCCTCAGCAGTGCTCACCCCAAGAAAACACCTCGTTCTGACCCTGGGGCCAACACACTGCAGGAAGAAAGAAGCCTGTGCCCCTTTGTCCTTCCCAGTTCTCAGAGCACCAATGAGGTCTCCCATCAGGGGACAAGGCTGACAGAGAAACGGCCCCCGCGGCTGAGGGGCAAAGCTGGACCAGTGGCCAAAATTAACATCCTGGTTCTGCATCCCTAACAAGCAACCAATCAGCGATCTCCACACATATATAGGAATGGAATAGCTCAAAGCAAAGCACCAAGATCAATGCACAGATGCAGGACTGCAGAGAAAACAGAGCTAAGGTCAGAAGTGGAAGGTAAATTATTTAAAGCCCTAGTTAAGGCCCTTGAAGACTCTGAAGGGGATCCCTGCATCATCAGAGGAAAGGCTGCAGGGAAAAAAGAGATGAGAAAAGGAGAAAAATGATTACTGAAAAAAATTCAGCAGAAGGATTCAACAGTATAACAGCCACAGGAGATGAATAAATTAGTGACCTGCAGGGTAGGGCGTAGAAAATCAGTGAAAATAGACAATAAAAAGATGGAAAATATAAGGATAAAAGTAAGAAAGGTGGAAGGTAAATCCAAAAATGCCAAAATCTAGTTAACATGCATTGCAAAAGAGAAAGCACAGAATACAGGGTGGAAAAATCAAAGACATAAAAATATCAAGTTTCCATCTGAGATATACAAAGCCAGTTCTCTGATCAGATCCGTCTCCTCTGGCTCTGACTGAAGCACTGTACCCCCTTGTACCATAAAACAGATAGAGCATCCCTTACCTGAAAATCTGAAGCGCTCCAAAATCCGAAATTTTTTGAGTAACAGTGTGATGTTCAAAGGTTTCCGATTTTCGAGAACTTTAGATTTTCACACTACGGAAGTTTGATAAATGAAATCTATACAAATATTCCAAAAATCTAAAAACTCCCAAATCTGAAATACTTCTGGCCCCCTGCATTTTGGATATGCATTTTCATACTCAGGCTGTATGAAACGCGAGTATGCTGGCTCATTCCCCTATTGGGTATCAGTCTCTTCAAAATGTTCTTGAAATTCTGGCATGAGGTCCTCCTCTTATGGGCCTGCCATCCTGAGCTCCCCAGTTATCCGTGGCTTTACCATCTCCATGGAGGCTCAGCACATTCATACCATGTAGATACCATGCCACAGGAGGACATCAACCCAACCCACAAGAACTGGATTTCCTCCAGTGGAGGGAATAAGGGTGAAGCAAGGTGAACCATTTCTCTTTAAGGGACACCGCACTCTGGTCTACATTCGGCGACATCCTCACCTGCACAGTGAGGTTATAGGTGCCCTGCTGGTGTTTTCTCACTTCAAACAGAGCTGTCATCAGGCCTTTCTCCAGGTGCTCGGTGAAGTTGCAGAAGCCGATATCCACACTTGGAGGCACGAACTGAAGTACTGAAAAGAAGAACACCAGTCAAAGCCCCGGAAACAAGGTGCTTCTTAAGGATCAAAGAATGAAGAGAGGAAAGAGAAGGGCACTGCAATCAACTAACTCATCCAAAGCACAAGTCTGTGCTACATTTTATATTTTAAAATATGTTTGTTTTTAATTAACACAGAATTAATGGTATATATTTATGGAGTACAGTATAACATTTCAATATATGAATATGTTAGTGATAAGATCAGGGTAACTCGCATATCTGTGACCTCAGACATTTATCACTTAATTGTGTTGGAAATATTCAAATCTTTGCTAATATTTTTGAAATATACAATTAATTGCTGTCAACCACAGCTATCCCATGGTGCCACAGAACACTAGAAGTTACTCTTCCTATTCCACTGTACCCCTGTAGCTATTAACATTCCTCTCCCCACATCCCTTTCCTGCGCCCTTCCCAGTCTCTAATACTCACTCTTCTACATTCTACTTCTTTAGGATCTGCTTGTTAGTTTCTCTATATAAGTGGGAACGTGGTATTGGGCTTTTTCTTCCTGACTTATTTTATATAACATAATGTCCTCCACATTGCTGCAAATGAGAGGAATTCATTCTTCTTTGCAGCTGAACAATATTCTAATGTGTACACACCACATTTTCTTAATCCATTCAACTGCTGATGAACACCTAGGTTGATTCTACATTTTCATTATTTGTGAATAGAGCTGCAAATCAATGTGTGAGTACAGATGTCTTTATGCCAAGTCCAATTCCTTTATTCAGTTGTGGGATTCCTGGTCCATATGACAGTTCAATTTCTAGAATTTTGAGGAAACTTAATACTGCTTTCCATAATGGCTATGCTAAATTACCTTCCCACCAACAGTGTATAACAGTCCCCCTTTCTGCCCATCCTCGCCAGCATTGGTTTTGTTTTGTCCACAATAACCATTCTAATGAAGGTGAGATACCTCACTGTGGTTTTGATTTGCATTTCCATGTTGATTAGTGATACTAAGCATATGTTTGGCCACTTTTAGATCCTCTTTTGAGAAATGTCCATTTAGGTCATTTGCCCATTTTCCAGTGGGATTATCTGAGGTTCTATGTTGAGTTCCTTTTGCTGCTTATGTTCCTTATATATTCTGGAAATGAATCCCTTGTTAGCAAATAATCTGACAGTATTTTCTCCCATTCTGTAGTCTCTTCACTCTGATAGTTTCCTTTGTTGTACAGAAGCTTTTCAGTTTAAGGTAACTGTCAATTTTTGCTTTTGTTGGCTGTGGTTTTACAGTCATATCTAGCACATCTTTGCCCAGACCAATGTCCTAAAGCATTTTCCTAATGTTTTCTTTTAGTATTCCACAGCTTTCAGTCTCACATTCCAGTCTTTGATCCATTTTGAGTTAATTTTTGTATACAGGAAGAGATAGGGGTCTAGTTTTTGTCTTTTGCATATGGATCCCAATTTCCCTCCTTTCGCTCCAAGAGAATTTGGCTTTTTACTGACAAGACTGCCCTTTCTCCAATATATGTTATTACTGCCTTTGTCAAAAAATCAGTTGGTATGAACAAGTGGGTCTATTTCTCTATTCTGTTCCACTGGTATATGTATCTCTTTTTTATGCAATACCATACGTTTCGTTTGCTATGGCTTTATAGTATGCTTTGAAGTTTGGTAATGTAATGCCTCCAGCTTTGTTCTTTTTGCTCAAGACTGCTTTGGCTTTTCTGGGTCTTTTGTGGTTCCATGCAAATTTTAGAGGTGTGTTTTTCCTATGAAGAATGTCTGGTATTTTGATAGGAATTACATTGAATCTGTAGATCACTTTGGGTAGTATGGTCACTTTAGTAATGGCAATTCTCTCAATTCATGAGCATACAATACATTTCCATTTTGTGAGCCTTCAATATCTTTCACTAATCTTTTGTAATTTCCACTACAGAGATCATTGCTTCCCTTGCTTTAATTTATTTCTAATAGTTTTCTGTATAGGGCTTGGGGTTTTATTGTTGTTGGCAGCTATTACGAATGAGAGTACTTTCTCGATTTCTTTCTCAGCAATTTTATTATTGGTGTATTTAAAAGTTAGCAGTTTGTATATGTTGATGTTATATCCTGCAATCTTACTGAATTCATTTGTTAATTCTAACAGGGGGTTTTTGGTGGAGTCTTCAGGTTTTTCTACATATAAAGTCATATTATCTACAGACAGACATTTTTACTTCCTCCTTTCCTATCCGGATGCTCTTTATTTTGTTCTTTTGCCTGTAGCTCTGGTGTGGGAGAAATTCAAGCCTGGCTGAGCCAGGTGCACCGCATTCCTGTCTCCTGAGCTAACTTGGAGACCTCACTAAGGCTGAGCTAACTCGCCTAAGTGTGTAGTTGCTGGGTCCAACAGGCTACACCTCCTCCCCTAGTCCGTGACTCCTTCGCCTCGCCCAAGAAAAATCACTCCACGATGCCTCCAATAAGATATCGCTTAATGATAAATGCTCCTCCTATGCTCCTCCCCCATGGCTGTCCCTATATATAAGCCCATGCATTTCCTGAATAAAGTGAAAGTGTTCCAGAAAACTCCCTGGAGTTTGCCTGGTGATTCCGCACCTTACCCTCCCAGTCTGAGCTCCTAAACCTTGTTCCATGAGCAGACTTGCGGACAACAACACTCTGGCTAAGCTTTCCAATGCTGTATTGAATAAGTAGTAAAAGTAGACATCCTTGTATTGTTCCCAATCTCAAAGGCAAAAGTTGTAGCTTTTCCCCATTCAGTGTAATGCTGGCTATGCATTTGTCATTTAAAGCTTTTATTGTGTTGGGGTAAATTACCTTTGCATAGTTTCTTGAGGGTTTTGATTATGAAAGGATGCTAAATTCTATCAAATTCTTTTCTTATTTATCATGATATCCTTCATTCTGTTAATACGATATAGTATGTTCATTCAATAATCTACATGCTTTGAATTATCTCATATCCCTATGATAAATTCCGCTTGATTTTGGTGTATAATATTTTTTATGTGTTGTTAGATTCAATTCACTAGTTTTTGCTAAGAATATTTGCATCTATGGTCATGAGAAAGACTGGTCTGTAGTTTTCTATTTTTGTTATGTTCCTGTATAGTTTTGGTATCAGGATCATGCTAGATTCATAGATTGTGTTTGGAAGGGATTCTGCCCTTTCGATGTTTTGGAATAGTTTGAAAATAACTCATATTCTTAAAGGTTTTGTAAAATTATCAGTAAAGTCATCCAATCCTGAGCTTTTCTGTGTTGAGAAACTTTTTATTGCTGATTCAAGTAATTCAGTCTTACTAGTCTGTTCAGGTGTTCTGTGTATTCATGGTTGTTTGGTAGTTTTGGTATGTGTCCAGAAATGTCTCCATTCCTTCTAGATTTTCCAATTTGTTGGTGTACAGATGATCACAGCAGTCACTATTGATATTCTATAATTCTGTGCTATCAATAATATCTTTTTCATCTCTGATTTTATTTATTTGGATCTCTCTTCCTCTCACTCTCTCTCCCCCTCCCCTCCTTTTTCGCTCAGTTCCTCCTAACCCCCACGTGACTAAAGATTTGTCAAGGCTAGGCATGATGCTGCAGAGCTGTAAACCCAGCACTTGGGAGGCTGAAGCAGGAGGCCTACTGTGAGTTCGAGGTCAGCCTGGGCTACATAGGGAGGTCGACATTGGCCTAAACTACACAGTTAGTCACTGTTTAAAAAAAAAAAAAAAAAAATTCTAGGGAGTTTGTTGGAAAAGTCGTGGCTTTGGCTCCAGGTAGGCCTTTTAACATGGTGTCTGTATAGCTTCAGCTATATCAACATTAGCAACATCTTCAGGTTTGGGGTTGCACTACCAGCTGTAAGGCACATCTCAGGTTCCATAGCTTGTACAAGGACAAGGCCACCGCAGGGGGCTGAGGTGGGTGCACTGCAGCCTGTTGCTAGTAGGTCAGCATCTGAAGTCACACAGGAGCCCAAAGGTACTGGTGGGACTCCATGGGGCACCTGTCAGTGTCCTGGGACTGCAAGAGTAACCAGCAGGGCCAATGAGGACCAGTAGCATCAAGCCCATGGTGGGTCATATTCTAGGTGTCATCCAAAGACATGCAGAAAGCCAACTCTGTATCAAATTAATACAGGCATCATGAAGGTGATGGGCATTATTTTAAAAATGGAAAAATAGCTAGGTAAGAATCTAATCATTACAAGACACAACTGACAAGTACTCCACATACATACAAACTCATAAGCAATGAATTCCTACACATTTATGGTGAAATGACATAGTATCAGGCATTGCCATAAAACATACTTGCATCTTCAAAAACAAAAGTTTGTGGGAGAGATGAAACAAAACTGGTTAAATCTTGACTGCAGAAGACTGTAATATTAATTATGCCCAAACCAGGCTATAAAGAGTTAACCACACAATTGGCTTGTTTTGATAAGTGAGTCTGGCCAAAGCCTACGTGCTGAGGTCAGAGTAACTCACACCCAAATTCTATTCCTACAACTACAACCTTCTGACTAAAAGGACAATATTTTAATTACAACCATATATTTTGTCTATTCTGTTTCTAATTCAACAATGCTTTGTCTTGTCCTTTATGAGCCTTGTTTATAATATTTTCCATAGAAACCACACGCCACGTTTACCCCAAATGATTGCCAATAAAAGACAGTGCCTGGGACTGGCCACCACCTTTGTCTATTGTACCAGCACTGATCGTCTTGGAACCCCCACTTTCTCTCCTAGTTCTGTCTCTTAATGTATTTTTTTTCTCAGGACTGCATCATATACTGGGCATGTGGGTACTGAACATGACTACAGGGGTGTCTGGCACTTGATTAGTTCTTAAGATTTGTAATGAGCACCTGTGAGAGTAATATGTTATTCTACTTTTGCATGTGTTTGCAATAAAAGTGCAGTGTGATAACTGCAGTGTGACAAAAGTGCAGTGCGATAAGGAACTACTTTTAGCTTCAGGGGGCATGATGTAGTGGACAGGCATGTGCGTGTGTATGTGTGTGTGTGTGAATAGGCTTTATCCTTTACAGGCATGAGCTGAAGTATTCCTGAGTGAGGTAACATGTTACCTGAGAGTAATATGTAAGTAACATGTAAATAGCATGACGGGGGGAAGAAGATGGGGTGTAAAGGTAAGGAGTCTGGCTAGGGGTTGAAAACTCTTGGCATCATACAGTGAGCACAAAATGGTTCATTAACCTATTCTCTATACTTGGGTATATCTTTGAATTTTTCCATAATTATAAAGTTTAGTATTTTAATTACATAATAAAGCCAGGTATGGTGGCACACAGGAGTTTAAAGCCAGCCTGGACAAGATAGAAAGAGTTTGTCTCAGAGAATAAATTTTTTTTTTTTT